TGGAATCGATTTTTTGTTTTTAATTTTTTTCGGTAGGTTCGAACACCAATTTCATTTTTCTCATATTCCGAACATAGTTCATTTCCAGAATTAACATAACCTCGATCAAAAAAAATTAAATGTATTTTCCTGATTCGAAATGTCTTCCGGGAACAGTTTACTGTCGAGAGCCTTTACTCCACTTGCTTTTGGATATTCTGTATTTTCTTTCTATATATTTATTTCTATAGTTTCTGTTGTATGGTACTACTGTGACCACTTCATGTCTAACCAAAAGGTTAGCGTATATAATCACTTCCTAAACCATTTTCGTCCATCAGGTTTCTCTTAACCCATTTTATTTTATTTTATTTTTTGTTTTGCGTTGACCAAAACATATGACTCTTCGGTTATGAAAAAGGTCCTTTCACTGGATGTGAAATAGTCATGGCCTAATGGAGTTCACATCCAGTGAAAGGACCCTTCTGATCATGAAAAAGGTCCTTTCACTGGATGTGAAATAGTCATGGTCTGATGGAGTTCACATCCAGTGAAAGGACCTTCTGATTATGAAAAAGGTCCTTTCACTGGATGTGAAATAGTCATGGTCTAATGGAGTTCACATCCAGTGAAAGGACCCTTCTGATTATGAAAAAGGTCCTTTCACTGGATGTGAAATAGTCATGGTCTAATAAAGCTCACATCCAGTGAAAGGACCTTTCAGATTATGAAAAAGGTCCTTTCACTGGATGTGAAATAATCATAGTCTAATGGAGTTCACATCCAGTGAAAGGACCCTTCTGATTATGAAAAAGGTCCTTTCACTGGATGTGAAATAGTCATGGTCTAATGGAGTTCACATCCAGTGAAAGGACCCTTCTGATTATGAAAAAGGTCCTTTCACTGGATGTGAAATAGTCATGGTCTAATGTTAATCTGATTTGATTATTCCATAAAAGTAATACCATAATCCAATCAGAGTTCGAATTTTGAATCGGTTGTTATTTTGTATTCCGATTCTTCTTGTTCTTTCTCACTGAAAGAACAATAAATTGAAATATTCGAATAGACTAGTGAAACCATTAATGGAACGTAGGAGGGTAAGTTTGAGACGTTTTGACTATAATGTACGAATATTATGCACGAAAGGTTCTTTCACTGGATGTGAACGTTATTATGCAAGCAAAAAAAAAAAAAACACATATTTTTATTTGAGAAAGAGTAAAGAGGCCATTCCAAGACGTACTCTAGTCATTCAAAAAAAGTCTCAATATCCTTTCTAAGCTGAATGAGAACAATTGCTGAAAAGGGTTGGGCTGCCTGTGGTATCCCTGGAACTTCGAGCTCCACATGCAGTCCATTCTTAGATTGAATAGTCTATGACAAACGCATACTAAATATGTTTTGAGTACACGAATCAATCATTACTCACGTTATCTGTTTTCACTTGAATTGCATTGATGGGGTGATACGGTTCAGAATATCCATCCCCTTGGAACAAAGACTTTCTTTCCACCCTTTGCGGTAACACTGCTTACTGTACGAGTGCTCTCTTTCTGTTTTAGCTTGTGATCTGGCATGGCTCCAAGTAAGGGATCATTCAATGTCTTTTTCGATTTCCTGTTTGATAAAGTTGAAAAGAAATGGCAAAATAAGTGAAATAAATTACCAGATTCTGACTGTGTACCCTTAACCATTTCCTTCTCATAAAAACCATGTTTTCGATTATTTTCTAAAAATAGCTGCGTCAAAGCAATTGTTCAAGCAATGTTAGATATTTTACAGTGATATTAAGTTGAAATACCATGAAAAAACGTTTTTCGATCCGACACTCCACCTAGGAAAAGTCCGATCCAGGGAGTAAATCCTGATCCATAATTTCCACAATTTTGGATTTTGAGGATAAAACTAACAAATTCTAAAAGAGCAAGTAAAATAGGCATCAATAGTGTCATTTGTTTCATTTTTGTCGTAAAAAAGTAATAGTTTTACGAGCATCAAAGTATCAACCAGCAAGGCACTTGTCGTACACTATTTGACTCACACCTTCCCATCCCCCAAAGAATTAAGTACTACGATTGAACAGCGAAAGCTATGAAGACTGAAAAAAAATGCACTGCTATTGGATGAGCGTGTAGGAATAAGAATGTACCTAAATTGGATTCGATCAACTTAATAGAATAAAAATGTACCTTCAGGAACAGGATATAGCAGATAATATAGGGTGAACGCATATATTAATAAAAAAGATACCTGAAATGCAAGATCGATACTACATAAAGGAAATTGAATATACCTGGAATGTGGTTGAAAGTTTACGAATAAGAATAAKAATAAATTGGATGAACGTATAGCAAAAGATGAATCAGGCTGTAATGGTATGGATGAACGTATAGGAGAATTAAAGAATACGAAGTGACTATAAACGTCAGTCAGCCGGACACGGTCTTCAAAAAACTAAACATCCGTCAGTCCGAAATTTCCCCACATTTCTCTTTGAAATCGGCTAATCTTTTTTTTTTTTTGAAACTCTTTATCTTTATTTAGAATCCTCAAGCGCTTCTAAAAAAACAAAAAATCCGCGAGCTTTCTCTTTTTAGCCAACCCTGTACATAGAGTACAGTAATGATGAAAAGGTAAACATGTACATAGAGTACGAGCGATGCAAGTGTGACACTTATAAAATGTTTCTCTGACGCATATTATTCTCATTGAAATCGGCCAATCTTTCTTTCGAATTATGCAAAATCTACTTTTTATGATTTTTTCAAACTACAAGTGGTAGGAATGGAAAAAAATGCTTTCAAATGGGTTTCAAAGTGAAACCATACAAAGAAGACTACATCGCGGGCGGAGAAGGACCCCCATAAAATACTATAAATGTATGTAATTTGGTCTGTGAGGGGGCTGGGAGAATCACTCTACGCCCGCTATGTAGTCTTTTTCTCTAAATACACTATTCAAGCACAAGCAAAGCCTGTTATTCTTTATCCTTGCAGTTGGTTGCATCATGAAGTAATAAAACATGAAACCAAGGCCGATCAGGATGATTTTCTAAGCGCTATAGTCATCATGGGCGAATCGACYGCAACAGCTTTGAGAAGAAGTTTGGAGACATTTTATCTCGATATTAGACCATCTATATCTAAGTTAAATAGATGCTTAAAGCTTAAATATATTAGCATTTACTTTAAAGCGATCAGCAGTCGTTTTGGTTGAGAAATTGTAGAAAATTAGGGACTCCCTGTGTCTAATGCGTGCCCAGCAGTCGAATTTTATTCAAATGCCGCGAAGAAGGTCGTTAGCGATTCTATGCCAAGGAGAGACAAATGCATCAAACTGAAATCTATTGAGCAGAGGAGAGTTGCTTGAAGTTTCTCTACGAAATTAGAATACTTTACTAAATCGATGAGCAGTCGTTTTAGTTGAGAAATCGCAAAAAATTAATAACTGCCTGGCACATAACTTTTTTCAAGTGCCGCGAAGAAGGTCGCGTATGAGGCAATCTTTCTTCAAAATAAAATTGTCGTTCATGTGGCHATGAACTCTATATTCGTACATGGTAAGCTTACCTTAATTGAAAATAAGCATAGATTTCTTTTTGATGATTTTCCCGCCACTTAAAGCTTTAAAATGTCGAAAATATGACTCAAAACTTGCAGATATTACAGCGAAGAATTACTTGAATTTGTCCACCATCTTGAATCTAGCGGGAAGCCCAAAAAGTCTAAAACCACAGGGATCCCACGCGAACGGAAATAAAAGTTTGATAAATCTAATGGAGTTTACCTCTAGTGAAATGCTGATAATTAACTCGTAAACTACTTTCGTCCTTCAAATTTCTTTTAATCCATTTATTTCAGTTATTTTCGTTTTGCGCTGACCCTTCAGACTTGCGCTGTAAAAAGTGTGGTATGCAGACAAGAAATAAACTTGTTCTTTATGTTCAGTTTGGGTAAATTTCCCGCTGTCGATACCCACAGACTCTCACTGGCTAGAGGAGCTAACGAGTTTCATTTTTTCTTTAAATAAATTCAATAAAAATAAAGGTGCTTTCTTTTTTCAAGTTGAAGTACACTCGCAAAGGCCACTGGGAATTTTCTCCCACAATTATTTGCGCGCTGAAATCCAAAATGGCGGAGGCAGGGAAGGAAAAAGAAATGGTTGAAAAAACATCAGATGAAGAGAAAGATTTATCGATACCTGAGAATGGAGAGCATTATACCAGGTCAAGAATTAAATTTACTACCCTTCCTTTGTTGTATTTAATTACTTTATGGTCTCATTGGTATTTTTTCCCTCTAATATTTAGCGCGCCTAGCGAGGATGAGACTGTGGAGAACTTGTCAGAGAAAATGTCAACTCTTGGTGTGTATAGTATAGAATAATTATTTTGCTTCAGATTTTATTTTCTAGGGCTATTGCAATTCCAAAATGATGTGTCTGAAAAAATATTCCAAGCTAACTCAAATAAGCTTAACTGTATATTAGTGTAAGCTTACTGCAGTAGTTAGGTTTAATCTTCTATATAATTCAATATAAGCATATTTAAGAATTTTAATATACAGATTCATGTATAGGCATAAGAGAGGTCTATGGTATACGTTTGTTATCATGATTCACTATTTTCATCATCATTATTATCATCATCATTTTAAATAGGGTCTGAAGCACAACAACCAAAGTATAACTGGATTGATATAACAGAAGCTTTCAGAGAATCCTCAATAGGTAAAATTAAATTCTGGTCTTGAGTAGAATGCAGACAGGATAAATTTAAAAAACTGTTCATGACTGCACGCACTTAAAGCCCTTAATTTACAAATAATCAATTGATGAGAAAATATAAATTATTTAACATTGTGTTGACAAGCACTTTTCCTTTTTTTTTCTTTCAGAGCTAAAACATGGAGAACTTGTGCATGATAACATGTAAGTTTGACTATGAATTGAAATTTAATGCAACATTTACATTCAATGGTGCAGGGCTTCACTTGACATCATTTCCTGTCTAGCTGCAGAATATTCATCATTTGAATCTCAAGTTTTAAATAAAAAGTTTCCTGGCTGACAGCACAAGGTGGTTAGTGTTTGATAAACATTTTGAGCAGACAATGAGATTTAAAAACTTTTACCACCTTATTGAAACCCTGCAATAATTAGACTGTAACATAGTAGTTATGCAAGTCAGGGACTGCAGATAATCCATTAGTGTTTTCGTACTGGTCAATATGTATATTGAGTGACATATGAATATGGTTTGTAGGTTTGGATTGTTTGAAGCAATGTCTGCCATTGAAATTATGGACCCAAAAATGGATGCTGGGATGCTTTGTAACAAGACTAGAAAAGTAGTTCAGTTTAAACCTGCTGTGGAGGTAATAGTTACAATATTTTCCCAGAAATTAAGATCTTCCTAAAATATTAGAAGCAATACCCATAGCCCCCTCACTACAGATAGAGAATATATAATATAGCATATTATCTTAAAATACATTGGCCCTCAAAAATCTCCAGACAGAAATCACCAATATATTACCTGTTGAGGTCCTCACTACGCTTTAAACATTCTAATTCCCCTCTGCAGAGAAGGGGAGTATATTGAAACTCTATATTTTCCTTTACTGTTGTTATTTTCTTCCTGCGAGGTTTTAAATAATGTTTAAATCAAATGGGCAAGGCTGCGAATAAGTGCCAGTCATTGGACAATTAATGTCTAGTTACATTGATTGAAACTTGATTTATAAATGATTTGCCTTTTAATTGGCTGGACATTTGACGGGCTATACACTTGGGTTTGACAGGCTAAATACAGTATGCCTCTGTGGCCTGACAAATGACCCGCTTATCAAAAAATATATTTGCAGCCTTGAATGGGTATTTATAGCAGTTTTATTTGAACAGAGTGTCTTTTCTTAGGCAATACGAAATTGAATTTTTATGATTATAATAAATATTTAGGCTGGAATGATAAAGATTAAGGATTTCACGTCAGACGAGCTTCTTGGGATTATGGACCAGCTAATGGCATGTTTGGTGAGTGAAAATTCAAATTCTATTGATACCCTGAAACAACCTCTGGGCTGATCAAAGTCAGAGCCTGGCTAACTCACAGACCCAACCCTGAAACAACCTCTGGGCTGATCTAAGTCAGGGTATGACAAACTTATAGTTTGAATTGGAATCTGTAAGATACAGCTGTATTGGGCTTTGCAAAGGGAAGAAACTGGAAAACTGGGAGAAACTTTAACCCTCAAATCAAATTAGAGACCTACAGTAACAAACTCTACTCATGGTGATGCCCAGTCCAGTAATCAAACCTTAGTCCCCAGAGGTACTACAGCTAGCTATGTCACTCTTGATTCCCTATGTATTGCTTTCTATTCCTGAACCTGAATACAGTAGCGTGGTTTTGAAAGTTGATTGGTCTACTTTTCAGGTAACATGGCTGGATGGTCATTCCTTGGTACAGACAGTATTTATTTGTCTTTATATGCATGATCCTTTCCTCATTGAAGATCTCTGCCTTAAGGTACACATTATCTAATCAAACAATTAACTTATAACAGTGCCATGCACTCATGACAACATGAGATAAGGCCTTGTGGTGCCAACCTATYGATCTTTTCAGGCAAGACAACATAACGACTTGCACTCATACTTACTTTTACAGGCATATTGTATAGCTATATTGAAGTGCTGTGAGTTCATTAGAATTGCTGTCAACACTGCTCAAGTCTTTGAGGAGGTATGATTTATTAAATAATGGTTTTGGTAAGAAATTGGCCAACAGCATATAGTCACCCTCAGCTACTAAACCATTTTTTAATTAATGAAATCCTACCAACAATCTAGTGACAACCTACTAACACTTTACCTACACCCTACTAACAACTCTCTTCCAACCAACACCCTATAGACACCCTACAGACATCCCTACAAAACTTTTCCAACCAACACCCTACAGACACCCCAACAATATCATACCTCACAACACTCTTCCAACCAACAGCCTACCAATATCCTACCCACAAGCTACCAACATTCTGCTGACAACCTACTGTACTGTGTCAAACACTAATTTTGGGGTGCACTCTGTATGCGTGTTTTAATTGACAGGAAGATTTCCAGTCAATGACATATGGATTTAAGATGGGTAGTCAAGTCAGTGAAACAAGAACTGCAGGTAAGATGATCAGTTCTGCTATAAATTAACCCACTAAATTGCTTATTCAAAATCCCTTTGATGCTTATATTATTTTGTGGAAATAAATTGTGGAGTAGTGTTAGTGCACTTGCCTCTTGCTGTTGATGTTGGATTTTCCTCCTTCCACAAAACTTAACACTCTAAGTTCCAATTGCCCTAAATTAATAAAGCCAGAGTTTGTTTAAGGGGTTTTCAAAGGTTCTTATTATTTGAATAAATTAGGCATGCTTAAAGAAGCAGAAGAAGAAATATCAAGGAAATTGAAAGTAAGCTAAATTTATAGATTCTTTTAGTTTAAGCACAATACTTTCCCATTTCAGAGCACATGTCATTCCCTTGAGTATCATTTTTTTGTTTAATGGTTGTACATGAGAAGACACATGTGGATACAACTCTTGAAAACAAAGAATCCTATTCTAAATAGAATGGCACATGGTCTGAAATACGATAATTTTACCCAGTTACTGTATCTTTTACAGTACGACAGATCTGTCCATATTGTATTCTAATGCTTTTATTTCACTGCATAGAATGCTAGAATAGCCTTAAAGACAGAAACAAACTCAACAGATCTTCAGGTAAGTGTAAAAGATATAGAAATAGGCTGAATATATACAACACGGCATCTGACTTGAGTTTAACTTCTTGAAATGTTTTATTTGTGTAGATCATGATTTATCTCATTAATTACAATAGGTAGAAATAAAGAAAAACGAAGCCATTCTCGCAAGACTCAAGTTCCTTAAAGCCTTTTATTGTGCAGTTGTAGCAATAGACAAATCAGAGGTAGTAAATCAGTAGACTCGTATATAGATCTCTTTAACTTATGTGCATTTTTTTTTTGAATTTCACACATGTCATTTTCTTGAGTATTATTTCTTCGTTGCACACAAGAAGACACATGATTATGGATAAAACTTAAACAAAGGAATAATACTCAAGGGAATGTCACGTGGTTTTAAGTGGAAAACATTATGCCTAAGGTAAAGAGGTCTTTTGTAGTCTTAGCGCATAGGGCACTTTCTGACCAGTCCGAGAGGCAATTTCTCAAATGGTACACGTCAGTTCTATAGAATTGATTGACCAAGAACTGACACGTACCATTTGAGAATCACAAAAAATAGTTAGCAAATAATGATATTTAGACTTAAAGAGGCTGTTTGGTGATATTTTTGTTGGAAAGTTTGAAATTTACCTAGAAAAGTCACTAAGGCTGTTCTTGCATTAAGCCCTTCAATTGCTATAAATGCATGTCTCCTGTGTCACATATTATCAGCTCTGAAATGTCTTCTTGCTAAAATAACATTGAGCTGCCATTTTTCCTTTTCTTTGACACTGCTCAGTTTAAGGAGGGGAGGCCTTGTGACCTGTTAGTCAGAAGTCAATGGTTTGCTGATAATGGTTTTGTTTCAGTGTAATGGAGTCACCACAGCCAAACAGCTTCTCAATACAGCCCTGACCCTTGTGGATCCTATCAAAAAGACCATACAACTGGGACTTACTGCAGACTTAGAGAAAGGTGTGTTAATAACCTTTTGGTTAAATGGTAATGAGAAACCAGAACTTACGATTGTAAGCTCCACGCCTGCTAATAGTCCCTTATTATGCAGACGTCCTCCACACGTCATAAAAACGTAAAGCATATTTAGAAAGTGTATAAATGCACTATATACAAACCTTCCATTATTATTTTATTATTTGCATTCTTCCTTTTTCCCATTTTTCCTTTCCTAATTTTCCTTTTTTTCATATTTTCATATTCCTTTTTTTTATGAATATAAGCCTTAATTAAAAGCTGGGGTCTAATATTTAAGCTTAGGATTTAACTGTATTTACTGTGTAGTAATGATATTCAATTTATTTGCTGCAGGAGAAATGTTGGGCTTTGAACCATTAGTAAACCAGCGTCTTCTTCCTCCATCTTTCCCTCGTTACGTGTTGGTGTTCGACAGAGAAGCAGTAAGGAATTTTTTATTAGGGTGTAAATAAATTTGGGTAGGGTGTTGATAGGATTTCATTAGGGTTTGGGCTGAGTGTCAGTAGGGTGACAGTAATGCAGTAGAGTGCCAGGGGATGTTGGTAGGGTGTTTATTGGGTGTCGGTAGAGTGACAGGAGTGTCAGTAGAGTGTTGGTTGGTCAGTGGATGTCGGTAGGGTGATGGTCTAGTGTGGTGGCGGTTGAGTGTCATTAGAGTGACGGTAGTGTTGGTAAGATGCCCATGGATATTGATAGACTGAGGGTTTAGTGACAGTAAGGTGACAGTAGTGTTGGTATAGTGCCAGTAGGGTGCCCATGGATATTGGTCGACTGACTATTCAGTGACGATAAAGTGACGTAGGGTTCCAGTGGATATTGTTACGGTGACAGTTCATTGACAGTAAGGTGACAGTAGTGTTGGTAGGTGGCAGTGGAAGTCAGTGGGATCAATAGGATTTCTGGGGTCACATTGTCTAATATTAGCAAATAAGTAGCATAATAATCAATTTTTTTTCAGGCAATTGATTATTTGCAGCTCATAGTGAAGAGGCTTATTCATGTTTGCAGTATAGTGGAGTGTAACCTTCTACATATGATTATTGTAAGTATTGATGATATCATCGTCACCATAGCCATTATTGTCATCATTATTACCACCATTATCACTGCCATCATTATCACCAACACCATGATTAATATTTTCGTCACCATCATCACTGCCATTATCATCACCACTCATCATCGTCATCACCATCAACATTATAATTATCACCATCATCAATACCATCATCACCATCATCATCACCATTACCATCAACATCTTAGCCAGTCATCATCATCACCACCATCACCAGTTATTATCATCACAATCATTACAAATATCATGGACAAGAGTCTTATTCACGTCCTCAACATGTATCTATTGTTATTGGTTAGGACTTTGTTTCTGAGTTCAGTAAAACCCATCCGTGTGTTCTCACAAGATCCAACTTACAGGTATGTTGGTACCTCCATGTCACAAGTACTGTGAGGTGTCATGAGTTATATATATATATGACATGAGTACCATGAGGTGCAAAAATTGAACGGCGAAAAGTAAAAACCTGTCCACCATTGCAATTAAGCTATAAAACTCATTAGTTATTGTGTTTCTTCACTTGGCACAGCTTATGGTTTGGCAGAATAGTAAATTGTTTGGTAGAATTCCTGGAGTTGATGTCGTACGTGATGCAATTAAAGCATTCAACAGTCCTCCGTCCATAGCTGAAAAGTAAGTAAACCTCAAACTAACTCAACTAGTCCAGTGCAAATCTCAGATCAGAACATCTTGTCTATGAGCCGGACAAAAATACAGCAATTTTTTTTGGGGGGGGGGAGGGAGCTATAACTTTACAAAACAGATTTTGTGTGACAGTGAAGGCATGTGACATGGTCACGTCATGGTCATTAAACCAATTACAGTGCAGGAGTTCACTGCTTGCCTTATCCAACTGCTCGGATGCAGCACAGTCACGGCATGGCACGGCCAAACCAGGAGTTTTTCACAGTCTTGCCAAATTTGCTCTTACCRTAAATAATAGTTGTCTACAAAACAATGGAAAGCCATTTCAATGGTACCAATATGGTATGGTTGTACATGTCATAAGTCAGTACTGTAAGTTTCCCACTCATATGAACGCTCATACTAGCTATTAGTAAAAGATAGCGAAGAAACGACGTGTAAATAACTCTTGTGTAACTTAATGCCTAACTGACACGCTCGTTTTAACAGTATTTCTGGGGTAAATGCCAGCATTGCGCATATTATTGTTGGAAATGAAATGAAATTTCTTTCTCTAGGTCGTCGCTGCTGAATAACCCAAAGGCTAAAGAAATATCAGATTTGTTTATAAACAGAGCAGTACGGGTATGTAAGTCACACTTCTGTTGGGCATGTAGTTAATCAAGGGCGATGTAGCGTTAATACACTCGCCTCTCACCTCTGGGGTCTCAGATTT